GAGGGCAGCCACGTGCAGCCCGCCTTGTGATGCCCATGGCTTGTGGTGGGAAATGAGGAGGATGCCCCAACCTGCCGGCAGTTCCACAGCCACCAGGGAACCTCGCTGTGCTTTGGGACGGAGCTGTGGAAGGGGCACGCTGCCCGGGGGCCGATCACGAGCTGGGCTATCTTTAGCTGAAAGGATTTAGGTTACAGCAAGCAGCCGCCGGGACACAGGGCAGACACCCGAGGGTGGGCACAGCAAGGAGGGGCTGCCCCAGAGCCGGGCAGGATGAGCCCAGAGGACGAAGGTGCTCGGGTAGGGCCTCCGGGAAGGGTGCGGATCCGTGTGGAGGAGCAGTGCTTCTCGGTGGAGAAGGCGTTGCTGGTGGAGAGCAGTGAATACTTCCGTGCCCTGTTCCGCTCGGGCATGAGGGAGAGCACGCAGGAGGAGATCAGGCTGGGCGGGCTGAGCGCTGCTGGATTCCTGGCCATGCTGCGCGTGCTGGCGGGCGAGCGGCCCGTGCTGGGCGGTGAGGAGACCTTCCGGGCGGTGGAGTGCGCGGCCTTCCTGCAGGTGAAGCCCTTGGCCAAGTACCTCATCCACTCCATCGACTCCGACAACTGCCTCCTGCTGTACCACACCGCCGCCGTGTTCGGCCTCCTGGACCTCTTCCACTGTGCTGCGCTCTACATCCGGGACAGCTACGCCGAGCTGGAGGAGCACCTGGGCTGCCTGCCCACCGACCTGCTGGCCTACGTGCAGGCCCTGCTGCCCAGCACCTTCGTGGCGGTGGGAGCCCACACGCCCACCTTTGAGTTCCTGGAGGATCTCTCCAGGACCATCTGCTACCTGGACGAGGAGAGCAACACGTGGAGGACGCTCTCCTGCCTGCCGCTGAGCGCCAGCACGTTCCTAGCCGGCATGGCGACCATGGACAACAAGATTTACATTGTGGGCGGCGTCTACGGGGCCAGCAAGCAGGTGGTGGAGAGCAGCTTCTGCTACGACGCCGACAGCGACGCCTGGAGCGAGTTCCCCAGCCCACACCAGCTGCGCTACGACGTCCGGCTGGTGGGCCACGAGGGCTGCCTTTATGCTATCGGCGGGGAGTACGAGAAGATCTCGCTCAAGTCTGTGGAGAGATACGACGTGGCCTCCAACACCTGGACGTTCATCTCCGATCTGCCGCAGCCGAGCTCGGCTGCACCCTGCGCCCAGGCCATGGGGCAGATCTTCGTCTGCTTGTGGAAGCCATTGGACACCACCGTCATCTATGAGTATGAGAGCCAGCAGGACGCGTGGCTTCCCGTCACCGAGCTCAAGCGGCACCAGAGCTACGGGCACTGCATGGTGGCCCACCGCGACAACCTCTACGTCATGCGCAACGGCCCCGGAGACGACTTCCTGCGCTGCGTCATCGACTGCTTCAACCTGAGGTCACGGCAGTGGACGGCTCTGCCCGGGCAGTTCATGAACAGCAAAGGAGCTCTCTTCACCGCCACCATCAAGGGTGACACGGTGTACACTGTCAACAAGATGCTGACGCAGCTCTACTCGGTGGAGGAGGAGGCCTGGAGGGTCAAGAAGGAGCGGGCGGGCTTCCCGCGCAGCGGCTCCCTGCAGACCTTCCTGCTGCGGCTGCCCCGGCGCAATCACGACATCGCCACGTAGCCGGCCCCACCCCACCTTGGGGTGCTCTCCTTGCATATGGCCTCGGCTCTGTGCACAGCTCCCTGGGCTCCTCTCCTCCTCTTGCCAAGGATACTCCACGTTGGACCCAGAGGTGACGAGGCACCCTGTGATAGGGGAAGGGGGGACAGGAACTGCTGGCACAGCAGCCTCGTGCAAAGTGCCACGACGGGCGAGCCTGCGGCACACAGGGCTTTGTGGCTTCTGCAGAGAACAGGCTCTGGAGAGATGCAGACATTTATTTGGACTGCACGCTGAAGGTGTGCAGCAAAAAGCCTGCTCTCTGCTCTAATGGTTCCTTATATCCTGGAATTAAAAGGAAAGCTGTAGAAAGCCCTGTGTCATTACTCTTCTCTTGTATTCTTTTCTCCTCCTGAAGGAAAATGTCTCCTAACAGAGGGCCCACATCAAGACCCGTTCCTGCCTGCTGAGTGTTTTCAGCTGCAGCAGCGTTCAGAGCTGCTCACACAGTTCCCAGGCAGTCCCGGGCTCCCCGGGGAGACATCGCCTGGGATGAGGGGACAAAGGGACACAGGAGGGGGGTGGAGGGCAAAGACCGTGAGGAGTTTATCTCCAAAAACCCACACAGGAGAAAGCTGTGGTCCAGAGTGAGCAGGTTCCTCCCTGGGAACCATCCATCATGCCCATGAGCGCAATAAACAGCCACCGTCTTCTCCAAACCTGCCTGCCAGCTCCCAGCAGACCCAAATGCTCTCATTTGATCCAAAGGATATTTTTAGGAGATGGCAAACTCGCAAAAATGAAAGGAGAGGAGAGAGCATCAGCAGGGCTGCACTCAGACTGTGCAGATGCCAGGCTGCCAAGTCTGCTTTGTGAACGGAGCTCTGCAGCCAGATAAGCTGTCTGTTGGGACTCAGCCCCATGATGCTGAAGGTTGTCCTCAGCACAGCTCCAGGCTCTGCCCAGGGGATGACTGGAGAAGGGCTGCCCTCATCCCCCTTGCCGAATCATAGTCATTACTGTTGGAAAAGCCCTCTAAGATCATCATGTCCAGCCATCAACCCATCCCCACCACACCCACTGTGTCCCTAAATGCTTCATGCTGCTGTCCCTCAAGGGAGACGGGGACCAGGAGTCAACCTGGCAGCCACGCACTCATCGGAGCCCAAATAATGCCCAGCTGGGCTCCCATGCCCCAGGCTAGCTGTGCTCCTCGCATGAGGAGGGAAGGGAATACCAGCTGGATGCCTCAAATACTTCCACTGCTGACCCTCGCCAAGTTCTCAGCATTTTCAAAACAGAGAGCATTAGAGAAGAAAAAAATCAACCAAAACAGACAAGAAAACCCAAGCTTGCATCCATGACCTTATTTAAAACACAGTATGTGCCTGTCCCCATTTGCCCTCCAACCCTGCTTGGGACAGGGAAGTGGCAACCACAGCCCCAGCATCAACCCCAGTCCCAGGAGCAGCCCCACACTGGCTCCATCTGACAGGGTTGTGTTTTCCATCCGCCTCCACTGGCGCTGCTGTAACCTCATGCCTTACCCAGGGAGGAATTCAGAGGAGCTGCTGGCGCTCGCCAGGCACACTGCGAGCATAAATCCCATCAAGTCCAATCCACGCTCCCTTCTCAGATGAAGCCCATTAACATTTTATGCTGTCTTCTCCTAACTGGAAGCAGCCCTCTGTTTTAAACCATGCTAAGTTGAACAACCAGCGTAAGGACTCCATCAATATAAAGTTCAAATAATTCTGTTACTCAAGTATTTATGGCGAGCTGCTGTAAGTAACCCAAGGCCATTTGACTTGGCAGCCTCTCCCATTCCTTCCAGCTCCAAAACCACCAAGCAGAAAAACTTCTACCCCACCTTTGTGCATCGTTTTTTCAACAGTTTGCAAGTTGGCAAAGGTAACACCGCCAAAAATACATTATTATGGTAGAACCACTGAAAAATCTGGTCTTAGAATCATAGAGTCAGTCACCCAGGCTGGAAAAGACCTCCAAGATCATCCAGTCCAACTGTCCCCCTACCACCAACATCTCCCCACTAACTCATGAACCTCAGTACAACATCTAAATGCTTCTTCAACACCTCCAGGGATGATGACTCCACCACTGCCCTGGGCAGCCCATTCCAGTGCCTGACCACTCTTGGAGAGATTGTTGCTAATGTCCAACCTGAAAGGAGGAGATAATGTAGCCCAAACTGCAAAGAAAATAGATTTGACTTCTACTTGGCGGTCTCGGCAGGCGCCGTTGAGTGTGGCATGGATGTTCCAAGAGAGGAGTAACGTGGTTGCATCTGTGTCACCAGACCGTGGTACAGACTGTAACGCAGAGGGAAGCAGAAAGATGTTGTTTGTACCTCTGCAAGCGGGGGAAAAAATATGAGCCAGCATGAGAAGCTGTTCAGCCTTTGCACAGTGAGTGGGCACGGTGCTGCAGATCTGTTGCAGCAGGATTCAGCGCTTGGTGTTACGCACTGCCGGCATGAGAACACCACCATTATCTGCCCCTTCCAGTCTTAATGGTGTCCACTCTGCCAAAGACCCTAGTTAGACCCAGTGCAGTCTATCTAATCATAGCTCAACCTTTTGCAAGTTTCTGTTGAAGGTGACATCATCTTGGCAAGGCTGAACGTAACAAAAAGCTGCCTGTAGAATGGACTTGCCTTATAAGGGCCATATCAAAAATAAAAACTTGTATAAGCAAGAGCTCTGCAGGAAAAGCAGAAACGGGTGCTCCAAGAAGAGCCTGGGAGCTTGCTGTGCAGATGGGCTCAGAAAGCACTGTGCTTTGGAGAAGGATAACTGCCCCATGTTGACTGATTTGGTGCAAGGAGGTCAGGACAAAGCCACTCCCCACGTTGGCACAGCATGGATGGATGGATCTGGATCTGCCCTGCCACTCCATGCCCCACTGACTGCAGTTTCCCTGTCCTTTTTACTAGCAGAATACCTCCCTTGGCCATCCAAGGGAGTGTTGTCCACAACACTGGTGTAAAACACCCACTCTCGGGTATGGAAAGGTCAGTTCCAGGCCAAAATCTGGATGCACGTTGTCACTGTCACTCTGGCACTTGGCAAGGATGGAGGCAGCTATAGAGAGCTACACCTGTGTGCCTGTGTTTGGGAGCTGGTCAGAGAGATGTGGAGCAGGAACACGCTGCATTAACTGAGCTGAACTGTATTGGGCAAGGAGACCACTTGGAAGGACACTGTGGAAAATGGTAACTACTTTGGGACTCATTAGGAGTTGTCTCTGCTAGGTTCAGCCAGTTGGCATTTCCATAGGAAAAGACATTAATACTTTTTATAAAAACCCCTCCGAGCATCTTTACTCAGATAAACTACATCTGTAGCTAACAGACAGGGGAACAATGTACTTCTGTGTGAGAACATCATCCATCGCTGCACTGCCAAAACAAGAGCAATGTCCTGTAAGGCAATCTGAATTTCCTGTTGTCCATAGTTAGCCGAGCACAGGAACTCCCCCAGGCACCCAGATGTGCTAAACCTGGTTTTGAGCCATTGTCTTTGCCATTTAGAGAAGCACCCTTTGAATTTGCTTAATAAAAGGCAGAGGCAAGCCAGTCATCCATCTCTCTGCTCAGATTTCATGACAATTCCTGAGCGTAAAGCCTTGCATAAGACATTTTTCACTGTCCTGGGTCAAAAGTCACACATTAGCTACCTAGAGCAACCTCAGCCCATGTTCTCTCTGTGCCCTTCGTTGAGCTGTGCATTTTTGTCAAGTTTCTAGTTCACAAGGAGACGCTAACATCTAGATTTCCTGTCACAACGTTCAAACGTCATAAAGTCTGCTGAGAATCTTCCCAAGAAAGGAGGAACCAATGTTCCTGCAAAGAGCACCCAGCTTTTGTAAAAACAATCAATTCAGGTGACTTATATCACAGTGTAAGAATCTGCACGTGGCTGTATTTGTAAATGTGGCCTAGGAAGGGATGGGCAGTAGGATGCATCCTGCTTTGTAGGTGCTGGGCACATTCACTGCCTCTTCATCACGAGCTCTTCCAGCGCCTTGTCCCTCTGGTTCCCACAGAGCAGGAGGACTTCTTTGATTTCATTTTGCTGGAAACCCATGTCGTTGAACTGAGCTAACAAGTGCAGGAATTCAGCTGCCTGGAAGGAGGGAAAGGAGCGATGTCAGCGCCGGGCTGTAAGGACGCATTCACCGCGACATTTCAGCAGCAGGGCCAGATAATCCCACAGGGTTGTATTACTGCTGAAGGGCACCGTGGACCCCGCTGCCAGGACAAGTGCTAACTTTTAACAGTCTTTATGCACCAAGTCTTTCTTTAGTTAATAAAGTCAGCCTCTAACTTCACTTATTCATCATGAAATTGAATACGAGTTCCACTCACGTGTTTGCACTGTGGATCTGTCACCCCGGACTGGGGAATTTCTGTCATTCATTGCTCCTATTTCTCCCATTGCTCAGGGTGAGCCTCACCACCACAGCTCACCCAGAGTCCTGTTCTCAGCAAACTACACCTCCTGCACCGAGGCAGCACCATCCCAGTGCTGAGCCTTGCACAGGAGGCAAGCAGGATCCTACACCTCCCCAACGGTGGGACTGCTGATGGGGACCAGAGCACGGGACAGCACCACTGTCCTGCTATGGGATGAGGAGACAGGAAGCCAAGAGGTGGCAAGCATGCCTGGGGCTGGGATTCCCACACCAGAGTGTCATGCTCACACAGCACGAGGTGAGTCCGTCCTCTGCAAGTCCTTGTGGCCACACAATGCTCTCCTGGGGCTCTGAGCCCAATCCGCAGTCTATGTGGGTTCACTTCTTGCAGAGTGATGGGACCTGACCTGGCAGGAGGTGGCACGAGGAGGCAGGGGGGTGGAAATGGACAAAACACAAAAGGCTGCGCTGTGCTGCTGACCTTTTTCTCCGAGTACTGGAACATTTCCATGGCCTCCTCCACCTGCCCCTCCTCATAGCCCTGCTTCAGCAGCCGGTCACAGGCGCGGAGGTAGCCCAGAAACTGGAAGAGAGAACAGTGAGGGTTAATGCATCCTGATCCCAAATGGGAATGAGGATAACACGAAGGGAGGATGGGAGTAGAGCAACACCTGAACTGTCTGAACACAAAGCAAGGATCTTCAAGTTGTTTTCTCATTTGGCAGAGACCATCTGGGTGAAATGCCAGGTGCGTGCTGATCTCTAACCCTATCCAGGCCAACATCCCTTTGATGCTCCCAGCCCCAGGCCCCTGCTGGACCTGTGCGAACTCCCCACATCCCCAGGAGAGGCCTGTGTGCTCTCATTACCAAAAGTAAACAGTTATTTTTGGCTTTCCTCATTGTTCTTGGAGTGCTGACAGCACAATTCCCAGCGGTCTCCTTGGAATACCACGAGAATCATTCACTGTCCAAAAAACTCATGTGACAGACCATAATAAATGGGCTGTACCATAGCAGAAAAAAAAGAAGATATGAAAATGTCCACCTGGAGAAAAGCTGAGCAGCCCAGAGGTGTCTGCAAAGCTGTGCCTGCCCCATCTGAAGAGAAGCTGATCTGCATCTCCCAGCTCTGCCAGCACTCGGACCTCCGCCCTCCTCAGCTCTGCTGCAGCCCAAGGAGGGGGACGCAAAGACCATAAAACACATGAAACAGCCAAAAACAGTCCCTCACATGTTAGCTCTCCTGTAGCAGAGCAAGAATTGTACAAAATGTCAGCCCTAAGGAGCAGCTTATTAATACAAACATGAGTTACGCTCTGCTTGCTGGCATTCAGAACCTGGCTTGATTTTCCTCATTATCTTTCTAACTAAAACCCGAGATCATTGCTGTATTTTCTTGCTACAAGGAGTCACTCCCCATGTTCCAGGCAGAACGCAGCCACTCTTGGCAATCTGACATGCTGCTCAAGCCACACACAAAATCTGTGCTGCTGTCAGCTACATGATTTTTATCATTAAAAAAAACCCGAAAACTATCCTCAAGACTAAACAAAACCAGTTTTTTATGTACTTTGACCTACTTACTTCCTGGGTTCAGCAAAGGGCTGAATGTTCACTGGGGAAGGAGGAGGAGCTGATCCTGCTCACCCTACAAGGAGTGTGGTCAAGGGCCAGCAAGCTCAGTGCTTGGTTTTCCAGCACAGAAATGCAATGGGAAATCCAATAGGCATACAGGTTGCAGTTCTACACACCCAAAACATTGCTGCAGATGTCCCCACTCTCACACCCATGTGCTGGCTGTTTGAGGCTGTTTGCTTGCTTACAAAGTTTGCTATCTCCCCAAGGTGGACTCTGCCAGCTTTATTTGATATAGTAAAGAAACGGAACGATTTTTAGCTACCGTCTGGTGCCACAATCAATCTTCATGTCTGAAGCTGTCACAGTCACATGCAGAAAGCTTACGTGACACTGGCAAGCAATGAAGAGCATCCACAGCTCTTGTTTTTAACATGAAACATATTTTCCAGGAAGATCTTAGCCTAATTTGGTAGTTTTATGCTTGTAGCAGTTGCACGCACAGCTAGGCCTTACATTTCATCTTGGATGCATGGGGCACAAAAGGGAAAAATGGGAACATTTGGTGGAGAAGACCCTGTATTTTGGCATATGAGGCAGATCCTGTATTTTGGCACATTAATCATCTCTTCGGCAGAATGGCAGTGTTCAGTGACCCAAAAGCAATCCTTGTGTGGAGTCATTGGTTGCTCCAGTTTGGGAATTTGGGGTTTTGGAGAACCAGATAAATCTCTGGGATATTCTTACGGTCCTGGGCTGACAGGATGAGCCATGAAAATGGTCACACGAACCTAACAGCTGAGACAAAATGATGTGCAGAAAATTTCCATATACGGGGGCAAGATTTGCACTAGAAGGACACTGTGCTCCATGCAACAGATGGGGAAGATAGCAGCACCCGCCTGTTACTGCTCGCTGACAAGCGGAGCGCTCACTGAGACTGTATTACAGCAAAACTGCTGGCATTTGATCCAACAGAAAACCCTGCTCTGATACCAAAGCAGGAAAAATAGCTTCATTTTCCCCAATGCAGAACAAGGGAGACCACCGTGAGCAAAAGGGAGTCGCTCGCATCACTGTGAAATATGAATTTTGTGCCCCCACAGCATCCCACACCATTTCAGCTGTTCCAGCTCCACCAACCTGCCCCAGGCTTTGCCTCCCGGTCTTCTGGAGAGTGAGGATGGCTTTGCGGGCCGGGTAGCCCAAGGCAATGACGGGCTCGATGAGGTCGCGCTCCTCCTGGCTCAGTGCTGACAGCAGGTCAGCCGCTGAATCTGGCTTGGCTTTGCGGGATGCCAGCGGCCGTGCTGGGGGCAGGCAGGAGTAGGGGCTGAGGGACTGCAAGACAAGACAGGAGCTCATGTTAGCCAGCAGGGATGGATGGAGCCGCCACTGTGGCGCCCATGTGCAATGGTCAGTCCCCAAACCGACAGGTGACGGCAGGCACTGGAGAGCATTACCCTGGCACTCATCACTGAACATCGTTGCCCAGTTTTGGCTCAGCTTTGCTGGCTGGAGCCCAGGACCGGGTGCTTTGCCCTCTCCCTCCACCTCTCCCCCACCACGAGGCAGCTCACCGGGACTGTAGGCTTGTGCTTGCGGATGGGTGGCATGGAGTCATTGGGTGCCATGGGGGGAGCTGGCACCAGGCTTCCCATGTGAGACCCCTCTGCTGCCGGTCCAAACTTGAGGCTCCTGTTGCTTCGGCAGTGCTGGGGGAGCGCTGGTGGCATGGGAGCCCCTTTGCTTTCGGCTGTGGCTCTATTTAAAGGATGCACCAATGCAGCCAGCTTCCTCCTGGCTGCTTCCAGCTCATTCTTCATGTTGTTGAACAAAACCATGGACCTCCTCTGCTTGCCTGGATCCGGGCTCGCAGCCTTGAAGCCGTTCTCTGAAGGAGGCTCCAGCAAGCCAGGCGATGTCTTTGGTCGGATCTGCTGCAAGCCATGCTGGTTTCTCCTCCGGAGAATGTGCTCCTCCCTGTCATTTTCCTCCCAGGAGGTGGAGGAATACTCATCGTCCTCCCAGCACTCATCGTCCTCTGAGCACCCAGCCTCACTCTCTGTGTCGGAGGCTCTTCCCCGGCCCCGCTCGGCGCTGAGGCTGATGCTGCGCCGCACCGTGCCCTCCTTCACTCTGCTCGCTGCTGTCTCCTTGCCCTCAGCGGGGTCCACCAGCAGCAGCCAGCATGGTGGGGCCGTGGGGATGGTGTCGGTGTGGAGCTGCTGCCAGGAGGTTTGGTGCTGAGAAGCGGCCTCCAGCCAGTACTGCACCTTTCGCTCCAGTGAGAAGTCGTGCTGTGGGAGCGCAGGAAGAGCGAGTGAGAAACACCAGTATTTACACCTTTGTGGAAGGGAAGCTACAAAGATGGGGAAAGGCCTGGGGGCAAAACACGTGAGGAGGGGCTGAGGGCCCTGGGTTTGTTCAGCCCAGAGGGGGCAGAGGGGAGACCCTGAGCTGACGGCGCTCACACTGGGACATCGCTCTCAAACACTGGGTTTGGGTTTGAGCGGAAGTGTGACATGGGTTGGGCTTAATGATCCTTGTGGGTCCCTTCCTACTCTGGTTATTTTACAATTCTCTGATCCTACAATTCTATATTACTAACGTCTCATTGCCACTGGGCACTAGAGCTGTGGGGTTGGACACTCCCAGCCTTATCCCTATGGGATTTCACTTGGAAACACCCGTTTGCAGCATTATTACTGCTTTCAGTTGTATTTGGAATCCTGTTGGGATGCTTTAGGCACGGAAGGGTTCTGTGTCACCTTGGCTGCTGCAGAGAGGGAAGAGCAGATTGCAGAGGAGTAGCTCCCAAGTAACCAGAGCAGAGCACAGGGGTCACAAACTGCCTGCCTTAGAATCCTTAGAACATGTTTTTGACTTACATCTGAGTGCTTTCCGGGAACAAACAAGCCGTGCGTGTCCCAGAGCTCTCCAAACAAGGTCTCCTGGCAGGCAGGCACATTCACAGCACGGGAATGTTGCTGTTACTGTGCTATGCCTGACCCAAACCAAGCTCCCCAAGGAGAACAGCACTGCGTGCTTCCAGAACCATGCACAGATGTGTCCCCATCCACAGCGAGCCAGAGTCCCTGGGGTGGGACACCAGGGACACACTCAGCTCAGTGATGCCTCCACTTGCAAACCATCACCTGCATGGAATCCTGCCCACAAACATTTCCTTTGAGGAATCCCAAATAAACACCTCAAAAACTGAGCATGCTTTAGTGATGGCGCACAAGTCACAGGACGAGGAAGGCCTGGGGGTGCTCAGGGGGATTTCCCCTGCACAGTGCACTGACCCCATCTATGGGTGAGACTGCTGAAGCTTGCTCAGCAGAACAGCAGGAGCAGCAAGAAAGCGAGCAGCTCCATTTTCTAGAGCCTGAACTGGAGCCTGAAATTTGCACTTTTCAAGGACAAATCAAACTTTCCATCTAAGAAAGACCATCTTGCAACCCTCCACCCATCCCGTCCTCAAGCTTGGACACTTCTAACAAAACCCAACCCCAACCAAAACCCTTCCTCTCACCCATCCTCACAACACCCTCACCTCATGTTCCTACTGAAAACAACCAACAGGCAGGACACCAACATGGAGAAGAGATTTTCCTTCCCTCTCCTTCCCCAAGAAGAGCATCCCTTTGAGCATCCTACCAGGAACAGGCTTGGAAGAGGCCAACCCACCATGGTGCTCATGAGGATGTCGGTGCAGTCAGGGAGCTCTATGGCTGGAGCCTTGATGAAGGTGCTTTCTCCTGCAGAGTTGCCCTCGATGCTCACAGCAGTCCGGAAGGGCACTCCATCCAGGTAGCTCATTGTCCCTGCCTGATTGCTCACTGCCTAAAGAAGGGATGGAAAAAAAAAAAAGTAACAGGAAAGATTGGCAGCTGCACAGGAGTGATGCTGTAACCGCAGCAAATTTGGGTGGAAGGAGAGAAAAATAAGCTATTTTTGCCATCTTTTGAGAGAGGTAAGCCCTGCTGTGTGCAACGTCCAGATTTGTAAAGTGCTAATTACTAGAAGGCAGGAAAATTTGTAAGAGCTAATCACTGCCATTCAGAGCTTGAGTCAACACAGCCCAACCAAGATTACGGCCTTCAGCAGGGATCTTCAGCACTTTCTTCCTCCAGTTCCACCCCTGCTGACACCTCTGTGCATAACCCCACTGCTTTCCTCCCCTTGCTCCCACTCAGCAGGCCCCCCCTCTGCCACGCTCCCCTTTTCCCCCAGCTAAATGCAGAGCTACAGAACCACCTGAGCTTTATTCCTATTCTCTACACGGATGCTTTTTTGCTGAGGTTCACAGTGGTGCACAGTGCAGCGTTTGAGGGATGTTGAACGAACCATTTGAAAAAGGTGAACCAGCTCATTTTAAGCACAGTGATGTTTCTTAGAGTAGGAATAGCAGGGAGAGAAAGAATTCCAATGAACAGAATGGAAAATATTACTGCCATCACGTAGCCATGAGTTCTGTACTAATGACTCAGTTTAGTGAAAAATAAGCCACAACTTGCTGCATTAAGTCCCGAGTCCCCACATCCCAGTGATGACAACATGCAGAATAGTTTCCTTTGTTGACTGGCAAAGTCTGATGGCAAGTCTTCCTCTGACTTCTGGAATCTGCAACTGGTGCCTGCTTGTCCCAAGGCAACGCTTGCCAGCCACGCTCACTGTGCAATATGTAGTTTATGGGACATCTGTATACACTAAAGTGCTTTTACCACTTTTTTTTCCCCCTCTGAGAAAAGCATGGCTTCTATAGCAATAGATAAACACAAAGCAAAAATAAGCAGCAGAATGTATACGGGCCTGAGAATGCAGCATGAAAATAAAGGTCTACAACAGGAAACATTTGAGAAAGGCAGCTCCTCGCCTTGGGAAAGGAACGCAACCAACCACCTGTAGCCTGCAAATGAAGAGTGACACGCAGCTGGGCTCAGCAGCACCCACCCCAGGCTGACACCAGGATCCCTTAATCCATCTGCAGCCCTGGACCAGCTCTGCCCCACACACACAGCCACTGACACACAGCGTGCAACGTGCCAGGGCCATCTGCTGCCTGGCTGAGAGTGCTTACCATCCACGTGAGTGCCAACAAAGAACAGCACAACGTCAGCAGAGCTGCCTTGTCCCCATTTTCTCCATCTCCTTAACAGCCCCATGCAGCCCCCGCCTGCAAGGCACAGCCCCCTCCTACAGGAATTCACCTCCCAGCAGCTGTGTGCACCCAGCAGTTCCAGCAGGGTGTATTTTGCTGGCAGCGCCCACAACAGTTCCCAAAGACCCAGGCTTGTTTGCAAAAAGCTGTGACACCCCTGGGTGCCCTGCATAAACAGAGCCCAGGGAAAAGCCCTTGTAACCAACTCCATCTCCTTTCACCACGAGCTTCCCCATCTGGCTGACCAAAGGACACCTGCTGATTCACCTGCTCAGATTTCAGCAATTTCATTGCTTCTCACAGCATCCATCCGGATAGCAGTAAGAAATCCCTTGCTATACTCAAATCTGAATCTTAGGACTGAATCTGAATACACATGGCTCTTGTTTTTACGAATCAATACTCAGACACACTCATTTTGTGTCTGAGATTTCAAACATTCCTCTTCCTTCAACTGTGACTTCATCCTTTCTCACTCAAAACGTAAAACATTTTAAAGCAGACATCATTAGAAAAGTGCAAATAAACCACACCAAGCTCGTGAGATTGAAATATGCCTGCATGTACACCATATGCACCAGCAGTTGCAACTCTTATTAATAATATCAAGTTATCCTTACCGTTAGATGAAACCAAGTAGCTCCTCTCACATGGCAGGGAGAGCAGTTGCTTTTATACCACCTCCTCATCCACTGCTTAAATCTTTAAATCCATGCATCTGACGAGCATCTGACTTTGACAATATCAAGATTATAGTAGCTTAAGTGGTTAGCCTGCCTCAGCAGAGACACTGATGGGATAAGGAGCCTAGCTGTGAAGCAGAGCATCCTTTGGCCATTTATCTTATTAGATGCAAAGTGTTGATTTTGAAATAGCTTTCATGCTACTTTGCCAGGAAAAACTCCCGGGATGTGACCTACCTATAAAGACTTGGAATGACATGGAGCTAAAAGACACGGCAGGGAAGGGGGGGACGTATGGACACACACATCAGAACTCTTTGGAGGACTTTGGTGAACTGTATTTTGTGGTGCTATGGCTTGGAGCAAGAACTGCCAACTTCTGCACCCAAACTCCAGCTCTATCATAGATTACTGCTTAGTATGCTCTTACTAACAGAAATCAACAGGAGCCTTCAGCCAAGGATCCACTGACATAAGCCCAGCGTTAAGAGCTGAGTTTATCAGCTGCGAGTAGGCAATCATGTGCTGCCTCCTCCAGGAATTACACAATGGTGATGCTAAGAGATAAGGAATGGGAAAGATCACATCTATTCCCACGCCTTCGGGCTAAGTGAGAACATGACTGCAGCTCTGGAAAGAAGCCAAGGCAACCTGCGTAGGCAAGCAAAGCCCCAAAACCAGATGGGGCCATCGCTGCTTTAAGCAAACAGTCCTGAGGATGGGAGGATTTGAAGCCATAAGCCTCTGTCATCTTGTAGGAGGGAGCAGTTTTCCTGCACACAAACCTTTTGCTGACAGCTCTCCCAATAGCTCGGGTCACACTGATGCCAAGCACTAGAACAAATCCGATGGAGCACAAATGTTTCAAAAACAATCCAATTTTCTCTGCTTATTCTGTGCAGAAACCAACTTACTAAACAGAGCTGCACTTTTAACCAAATGCTATATAAACAATCTGTTCCTGCAGGAAAATAGCTTTGAAGGCAGAAACAATTGAAGTAGGTTAAACTTCAGGTTTTATTACCTTTTTCCCCAGCAGGCTTATTTGTCAGATTTATAGATATTCACAAGGCTGGCCGATCTCTTTCAACACAACAGGGAATTTTTTCCATGCTGTGGTACCCGTTTTAGTCCAGCAAAGCAAAATGTCAGCAGCTGCTTTAATCAAGCTCCCAAATCGATGTCTTGTTTGTACTCAGAATTTGTTTAAAAACGTAATAGCTCGTTTCTATGCACAAAAACACAGAAACTATTTTGAAAGCAATGCCTGACGTGCTTCATTTGAGAAGAAAAACACATCCAGTAATGAGCTCTTTAAAAAAAAAAACAACAAAATTCTGGAGATTTCAACATCTTGATTTCAGCTTGTAAAGTCACTAAGAATAGTTCATGAATCCTGGCACCAATCACCTTGTCAGCAGCATTACTTTATTGAGATTGCGATTCGTTAATAAAAACACACAGCAGCACTGTAATTCTGTGCCACGAAAGGGCTGACAGCTTTGCAGTCACTCAGGTATCACCTTGCAGAGTTAGAAAGCAAAGCCATCCCTTACAGTTCTCTTCAAGGCATTCCAGACCCTGGCTGCAGGCTTCCTGAGCACAGACAGGACCCAGGCGCCACCTCCTCGCTGGATCCTCTCACACTGACACCACCAATGACAACCAAACACTCCTCCAGTGCAAAAACAATTTATTTCTGAGTTATCTGACAGCAGTGGCCCAAGTGTCATTCGTGGGGAGAGTCGGAAGAACCCATCCAGGAGGGATGCAGCTTCCTTCGGGGTGATCAGCGGGCACCAGGTACTGATCCCACTCGTGCCTTCAATACAGAAAGGTGTTTGAGAGGACATCCAGCACAAGAGAGCTTCAGCAGGAGGATTACATGCACACATACACATTTCTTCACACCAACCAATACACAAGACTCTAAACCATGCTCTGTGTTTAAATGACAAAGAAGGAACCGAAAGAATTCATCACATAGCCGTGCATGGAAGCGAATGAACTGTATTTTGCAACCTCAACAAATAATGCTTGACACCTCAGACACCAAAACAAAGCTTTTACCTGATCTGGATTAGAGCTGCTACAGAAAGCTCAGCCTGTAAGTAATATTCCCTGAAAGGCTGCAGCAGATCAGCAAGAGGAAATTCATCTGTTAAAACACAATAAACCAGAGAGACCTTTGATGCCACTGTCAGAGAAGTTCCAAATTTGCTGACTGGTTTGCTGCTCCCCAGCTTAACTTGAAATCCTTACCTATTATTTACGTGTTTTGCACATCAACTCACCCTCACCAAAGCTGTCAGAGCGAAGCTCAGACTAGCAAAACTTTTTCCTGTCTCCATCCTCTGCACCAAGGGAACATATGGACAGTGAATTGTTCCCCATTACACAAACTGCACTAACCAAACCATCAGAATAAAGCACCTGCTGCATGCTGGAAGTCTTCAATCCATTCAGTTTATTCCCACTTCAGCTTAACCTACAATCTTTTTTGTGCCTTTATTTTAAACCCAATGCCTAAGAGCTGAAAGCAGAATATAGAGTGAAGTCTGACAGGATTTACCTGGATCCCCAAACAGCTTGGAATCAATGTCACGTTTCTGCTGTAGAAGCTTTTCTCTTTCCTTCTTCTGTTTCTTTTCCATTTCTCTCTTCCTTTCCTCCTCCTGTTCTCCCTCCAACATCACTCTCAGTGCTCTCTCCTCAGCTTCATACAGCTCTGTGCGATTTTTGAGCAATGCTCTGAGACTTTCCACCTGATTTTCAAAGGCTTCATCTGCTGAGGGAGGTGGACAAACACCTAAAGAGAAGGAGAATTAGCATAATGTTTCCAAATTCAGAAGGAGCACTGTTATGAGACTTAAAAGCTGAGCTGGCAAAGTCTCAGAGAAATATAAGCTAACAATTATCTCAACAGAAGGTTTTTTTTTTCTGGTAAGGAAGTTTAGAAACATTGGAACACAGTCACTGCATCCAATTTGCTGCTCAGGATTTTATAGCTGTTCTTGCAGAACCACATAACGTCAAGAACTAATAAAGAAACAGCTTCTTCAAAGTGCACCTCCTGTCATTTCCTGTGTGCACCATTAGAAAAGTTAGGAAAAATTCTCCTAATTCACCTTTCCTGGCAGCAGCCTCTTTCCTCAGTTTCCGAAGCTTTTCTAAGGAGCCCAGGATGTCCACCATTCTCTTTGTGTCTGCCTGCTTCTTCCTGACTTCAGATAAGACGCTGTCTGCAGCAGCCTTAAGCTCCCGCTCCTGCAAAGGAAAGAAAAGCAACAGGATGCATGGATTATCCCCCCCAGACCAGAATGAAAAGGTGCTGTCAAACAAACACAGCTTCCTAGTTACAGCAGGTGAGTCAACCAGCTGACCTGGGAGAAAAAAAAACCCTTAACAATGAAATTTCAGGGAAAAAAGAATGGTGAGCCACACACAAATTTGGGCCAGAACAGCCACATACATAAAGCCTTTAACCTTAGGAAGTCAGTAAAAATGTACAATGAATATAAACCATGCAGACTTCACAGCTGCGCAGTTACGGACCGTTAGCATGCCAGTCTGGATACAATGCCTTGCACACCAGCTCTGTGCCACCCCAGCAATGGGTCCAGCAACCAACAGAGATGAATTTTTGGCAGCCAGTGCAGTGCCAACACCACTTCCCACCGAACTGAATTTGGGTGGGTTTTTGTCATTTTTTTTTTCCTTTGGAGCCACCCCCACTGCCCACGTCCCTCAGTGCCACAATGAGTGCCCCCACCACGCCTGGGCAGTTTGTGCTGGTGCAACGTTACTCTTTCTGATTAGAAATTTCTCCTAATATCCAGCCATACCCTCCCTGGCACAAATCGAGGCTATCACCTCTCGCCCCATTGCTGTCAACGGCAGCAGAGGCCGACCCCAACTCTGCGCAACCTCCTCTCAGGGGTTGTGGAGGGCAGTCAGGGGCCCCCGAGCTCCTCTTCTCTGACCGCCCCACCCCAATTCCCTCGGCTGCTGCCCGCAGGACCGTGCTCCGAGGGCCTCCACGTCCTTCTCATCGCGAGGGGCCCAACGCTGCACGCAGCCGGGGAATCCACGAGCACGGAAACCCACAAGGCGGCCGCACGCCGCTCCATCGGAGCCCGTGAGCAGAGCCGCAGGCACAGAGCAGCGGGCCGAGGCCGCTCTTCCGTACCCGGTTCTTCTCCTCCACCTCCTGGATGCGCCCCGCCCTCCATCGGTCGATCTCAGCCTCCCGCTCTGCGGCGCGGGCCGCCTCCTCCTCCCGGGCCGCTCGGGCCTCCCGCTTCCTTCTCTGCAGCCGCTCCCTCCTCTTCCTCGCCTTCTCGGCCTTCCGGCCCAGTTCCCGCAGGTAGCCGGGCTCCCTCAGCGGCCGCACCGTCTCCCTCAGCTCCTCCAGCAGCTCCTCGGCCTCGGCCCGCTCTCGCTCCCAGCCCTCCTCTCGACCCTCGGCCTCGCGGCACCGCAGGGCCCGGCACAGCGCCACCAGGCGGCTCGCGGTCCCCAGCGCCCGCACCGCCAGCCGCCGCCCGAGCTCGAGGCCGGCGCCGCGGGGAGGCGGCGGGGGCTCCGCCGGGGGGCCGCGCCGGGCGAGGAACTGCGCCAACCAGCGCTCGTCGCGCTGCCGCTGCGCAGCGTCCTCGTCCTCCGGGTCCCGCGGGGGCGGCGGCCGCTCGGCCGAAGGCCACGGGGGGAAGAGCGGCGGGGCGGCGGGGCCGCGGAAGAAGGGGCCGGCCTCGGAGGAAGGAGGCGGGAGGAAGGGAGGGAGAGCCGGGCGGGCGGCGGGGACGGGGAAGGGAGCGGGAGGCGGCGGGAACGGGCCCGGTGCCTGAGGAGGGAAGGCGCGGAACGGCGGCGGCGGCGCGAAGCGGCCCAGGAACGGCGGCGGCGGCGGAGGCTGCGCCATCTTGGAGGCGCGGCGGCGTCTGCGACTGCGCCCCCCGGCGGCAGGGAGGAACGGGCCTGGCGGGCGGTGACGGCGCTCTGGGGGCGGGGCCTGAGGGGAAGAGCAGCCCGAGCGGCTGGGGGCGGGCGGGGAAGGGACGGGGTGACGTTGAAGAAGCGGGCGGCGTGACTGAAGGGAAAGGCTGCTGTTTTGCTTAGAGTCACCTGCACCGCTCGGATCCCCCGCCCAGCCATCAGCGCGCCCCCACCGTGCCCGCTGTCCGCAGGTCCCTTCCAGGCACAGCCGCCCCTACCGCCCGGGCGGTCCGTGCCCGTGCCTCACCTGCTATCCAACCTGAGCCTCCCCTGGCACAATTTCAGGGCATTAGCTCTCACCCTAATTTATTAAAACCGAGTTAAAAGAGCCTCATCACCATCACTGAGCTCCTTTGGTGTCCGTCCGTGACTGAACAGAACTGCATTTCTGAGCCCAGGCTAACCAGCAGCTCTGGCCGCGGAGCAGCAGGGATGACACGGCTCCAGCTCCCAGTATTCATTGGTTTTATTCAAACTCCAGCAGTGAGGTACAAACTGCAGTTACACAGCATTTGTTTCCTTAAAAACAGTTCTTGATTACATAATTGCAAATAATCCCAAACAACTTCCAAAACTAAGTTGTTTAACAGTTCTGCCTAGAATGGTGGTTATTCTTTTCAATCCATTTAAAAAACAATCTGATTAAAGAGCTCTGAGTTAAAAGCGAATCTATTTCTCACTCTACAAAAAGGAAAATGAGGACATGTTACAGCTCACCCCAGATTCCCATCTGAGGCAACGAAGCTTCTCTAGAAACACTCCCAAGTCTAAAAGCAGCTTTTTCCAAACCACGGATGGGCGACTGAACAGAAAAAGGTGGAATCCTAATGCAGTACCTGATGCATCTGGCTCACGCTGCTTCCTATGGAAGAACACAACGATTAGGTGACTGTCACTTCAAATTTACATGACAAAAACGAACAAAAAAAACGAGGGCCAAGCACCCACAGAACCCTTCCCTACATAAAACACCTACAGGGTGGAAAAGAACGAGACAAGTTTTCTGTAAAAAGCACGAGTTAAATCTTCAGGAGAAGGGCTCAGGAAAACCTCAATCCATCACTGAAGGACAAAACCGAGTTGTAAGCAACAATTTTAATTCCTGAAACAGACTGAAAACGTACAGGTCCAACTGGGTTTTTACAAATGCTTTCCTAAGGGATTGAATTCATTTGGATGTAGAACAGGAGGACTGCTTTGCTGTGAGCCTAAAAACCAAAGACAAAAGCACAAGATGCAATACTATAGCATTTGAGCGCATAACTTAAAAAGCACTGCCGTGTGAACACTCACTACTGATTACATCAAAAATATTATACACTTACTCTTTGTCTCTTAACATTATAAGATAGGTTGGGCAAATACCTGGCACCAAAAAATTGATGCATGATAGTTCCAATACGTTAAACAAAATGTACTATATTAGAACATTAATATTTAAAAATTTATGCCAACTTGTCATCCAAACTCTGGCGGCTTAGCACTCCCTCAATTTCATTTACCCTTCTGGAAAAGTGAGCAAATTATTGTCTTCACCTTCATCCGCAGCCATTTAAGGTGACCGAAACTTTCTCCCGATGGAGAGGTGAACAACAGGATGTATTCAGTATCCAATTTAACTAACAAGCCAGTGGTACATGTTTAGCAGTATCTCCCAGCACTGTCTGCAGTGCCCCCAAGCTTTTCAGAGTCCTGGTGCAAGGGCTTCCCTTCCAGCCCATGTAACAAGTCACTCCAGCACCGCTGGCTCCCAACACCAGCAGAAGTCTAACACTGCATACCCCCACGTGAGTTGTACGAGGAGCTGATCGTTTATTCACCCTCTGCTAATTATTAAACTTGTTTTCCCATTTGTAGAGTAGCATTACTGTAAAATCTACCTATCGGCAGCACCTGCATTGCTGTTTACTTTTTAGAAAGAGCAATCCAGGTGTTGCTGTATTTGCTATGTTTTAATTGAACAAGTGTAGTATACAATTTATATTTGAACATTATGCCATTCAAGTCCACACAATGTCCATCGAATAAATCAATGTGATGTTACAGTAAAAGACATGATCTGATTTATCTGGTAAGGTTCCTCATCACGTATCATATCCGAGATAGATCCAATGCTGTTAGTATCAGATTGTGAAGCCAGAGGCAAATCCTAAGGAAATAAC